CGTGGCAGGGGGAGGTGGGGGCTGGGGAATGGGCTCGCTGGGGCCCTGCAACGTGGCAGAAACGTGGCGGGGCGTGGCGGGGTTGGGGTCGGTGGGCGTGGGGGGCGGGTGGGGGCGGTGGGGTCGGCGGCGGTGGGGGCGGTGGGGGCGGAATGGGCTCGCTGGGGCCCTGAAACGTGCAGGGAAGGCCCTCAAACGTGGCGGGGAAGGGGGGGCGGTGGGCGGTGTGGGCGGTGGGGGCGGTGGGGGCGGGCATGCGCTGGAGCCCCTTAAAACATCTCCAAGAAGGTAGCCAGTGGCCCTGAAATGTGGCAGCGGGAGGTGGGGGCTGAGGAATGGGCTTGCTGGGGCCCTGAAAGGCCCTCAAACGTGGCAGGCTCGCTGGGGGGTCGCTTAGGGGGGGACGGGGGAGCCCTGAAACGAGGCCCTCAAACGTGGTGGGGGAAGGGGAACTGGGACAAGTACCGGGACCGAAGAAGGAGTGGGAATACGTGAACTATGAGACAATGTCGCTTTCATGAACAAACAGGACTGGGACAAGTATCGGGGGCGAACCGGAGTGGGATACGTGAGCTCTGAGAGCATCGCTTACACGGACAGACGAAGGCTTCACGGGCGCCAACCCCTTAGGGGGGTCGGCGGATGACAGGAAGACTCACTGTGTTCTCTGCGTCAATTCGAGCAATCATTCACTTCGTTCTTTCATTTGCACTTGACTTCGTTCTCTCTTCATCCTATTCATGCACGGGCCAGTAGTAAAGATATTACATTTTGGCCCGTGAAGAGAGCACACACAACAACCGTATCATCCTGGAACTTGGAGCCCTTAATCATATTGTTGTTCCCTGGCTCTTATCACGCGTCACCCATCACACCTTAGAAACTAGACTCTGAGACGTTACCACCTTGGTTTCTATGTCTTGTTCACTCACTCTCTGACACTTCGGCTCACTCGCGGGTTTCTTCTTCATTCTCACATTGTTATTGCTATTGCAAGTTCACGCTCGAATAATAGTAATAGTGTGCGAAGCGAAGAAAGAAGTGAGCGTGGGTGAGACAGGAGTGAGATGAAGAGCGAAGCGTTCTTTTAATATTATTGTGTGAATAGAATACGAAGCGTGCTTTTGTTACCTTCGTATTCCATTCACGATATGATATTAAAGGCCCGGCCCATGAATCCGCCCTTGAGACCCTAACTCTCATACCTTGATCTAACCGTTCACACCCTTGGAATCGCACGCCAGGTTAACCGCTCTCTGGTCCCTTTAATAATATTATCTTCACGCCTTAACTATAATGCAAGGTGACGCGCGATTATAATTCTATGGCGTGACAATAATATTATAAAGGGGGGAAAGGAACGTACTAAAAGCCCTATTTACAACGCTAAATTATAAGGAACAAAGTGACGCATGACTTTAGTATATTTAAACGCAGTGAAAGACGCGTGCTTTTGTCCCGTTCACTCGCTTCGTCTTTTCTCTCACTCTTTCACTCATGTCCTCACGCTCCCTGAAAAGCCCTTCCTTTTTTCTAAGGTTTCGGGTTTAGGGTTTAGGGTGTAGGGTTTAGGGTTTAGGGTTTATAAAGTTTAGGGTTTAGAGTTTAGGGCACCTGCACCCCTGCAGGGTCGATCTTGGGCGCGCAGCTCTCGGACTACGCCGGAATCAAATGCAGCCGGGCAGGGCCCTGCAACTTCGAGTGGCTGAAGACGCTGATCCTGGTGTGCCTTGCTTTAGGGTGGTTTAGGGTTTAGGGTTTGGGATTTAGGGTTTGGGGCTTAGGGTTTAGGGTTGAGGATTTAGGGTTTAGGGTTTAGGGGGCTCGCTTGAAGGAGATCTCAGGGCAGCTTGTATATTCGCCTAACGCGCTCATGTTCGCGACTCTGCGTTCCGACGTTGTGGCCTTCCCCCGAAACAGCAGACGATCCAGAATCTGGAGCACGGTCGCTGAAGGAAAAGTTGAAAGCGCAATGCGCAATCACATCCACATCCATCGGCTTCATTCAGCTTGGTCAGTCTGAATCTTTAGTGGGTGTACACTTTCTGGATAGTAATCCGTCCACTGCTTGTGGTTTCACTTTCCTCGCAAAACCAGGCGTGGCCGGAAGCCATGGCATAGCAACAGGAAATCCTAAATCCGCACAGCGACGACAGGTACGAGGATCGAGCCCGACACACCCAAACCCCGTGTTGGCTTTACACGCGAGGATGGTCCGGGGGTCCAAAAGCGTTGACAGTCGCAAGGGTCCTAACGCTGACACGCTCCATTTTCGTGACGCTTTCCATTCCACAGTTATCATCTTTGGGACAAGCATTCGGGTCTTAGGGCATCCAGTGCTCAATAGTGTAGAGTGTAGCAGTAGCTAGAGATACCCTAAACCCTAAACCCAAAACCCCAAACCCTAAACCCTAAACCCTAAGCCCTAGACCAAGAGGAACCAAGCAAGCAGGAGGATGGACTGCTTATAAGGCATGCCAAGAGCTGGGCTTGAGGGAGAGGACTGAGGAGCAATGCACAGCAAAATGCACAAGAATGCACAGCAATGGTGAGGGTTTAGGGTTTAGGGTTTAGGGTTTAGGGTTTAGGGTTTAGGGTTTAGGGTTTAGGGTTTAGGGTTTAGGGTTTAGGGTTTAGGGTTTAGGGTTTAGGGTTTAGGGTTTAGGGTTAGGATGATGCCAGGTGCCACATGCTGGTCCCGCTGGCCTGCCTGCCGCTGACCTGGATCCTCGTCCCTGCGGCCGTCATCAGCGATGAGGGCGCTTTCGAGATGCACCCCGCGGCAGAGTCATTTTTTCTCGTTCTGTTTATACGCGGAAGGCCTCATTCATCTGGGGACAGGCTCCACTAAAGGTTCAATGATGCTCAATGCAAGCAGCAAGCAACGTGGCTTATGGTACTCTCAGAAGCCCGAAGCCTCTGGCCCCTACAAGCCCCTTGCACCAGAGTTCTTTCAACAGCATTGCGAAGTCTGGTGAAGCTGTATTCTACGGAAGCGGCAGGTCTTCGCCTCCGCCCTCCTTCGCATCGCCAGGGCCCTCGCCTGCCTGGGTCCCCAGGAAAGGGTACGCTAAAGAGTTTGAGGCGGAGGCTGAAAGATTTGTGGGTTTAGGGTTTAGGGTTTAAGGTTTAGGGTTTAGGGTTTAGGGTTTAGTGATTTCAGGGTTAGAGGGCGTTCTTCCAGATTTCCACACCACTCCTGCCACTTATACCCTTCGCCCCTGCGAAGCCCCGAGCTCCGCAGGTCGGAGGTCCCAAACACCAGAAACTCTTTAGGGTTTAGGGTTAAGCGTTTAGGGTTTAGGGTTTGGGGTTTGGGGTTTAGGGTTTAGGGGCGGGGATTTACACCTGCGGTACAGAACCGGGATTGTTCTCGGGTTCAGGGCGAGGAGCCCTCTCTAGCCCAGCTGTGCAGGACGGGGTCTAGGTCGCGTTGGGATGTGGTGCTGAGGGTGTGTAGGCTTTGAGGATGAGGCTTACAAATCAAGTCACGGCATGTTTCACAAGTACCAAACTGACCAGCTGAACAGCCGTACATACCCGCATCGCTCGGCCTTAAGTATGTGGCATTGTCAAAGTGCATCAGAGCGCGAAGAGAGTGACGTTGCACAGCTTTCCTCGCCGGCATCCTCACCTCGCACCTACCGTGCCACCTGGCACAATTTAGTTTCTTTCACGGCTTGAGGGTTTAGGGTTTAGGGTTATGTGATGAAAATATTTGGGTGTTGGACTCTCTCTCTCGCTCTCTCTCTCTCAGCCTCCTTTTTTTTTTTTTGTGTGTGTGTGTGTGTGTATCTGCAGCTGCGTCCCGCGCGCGCGCGCGCGGGTGTGTGTGTGTGTGTGTGTGTGTTGTGTGTGTGTGTGTGTGTGTGTGTGTGTGTGTGTGTGTGTGTGTGTGTGTGTGTGTGTGTGTGTGTGTGTGTGTGTGTGTGTGTGTGTGTGTGTGTGTGTGTGTGTGTGTTGTGTGTGTGTGTGTGTGTGTGTGTGTGTGTGTGTGTGTGTGTGTGTGTGTGTGTGTGTGTGTGTGTGTGTGTGTGTGTGTGTGTGTGTGTGTGTGTGTGTGTGTGTGTGTGTGTGTTGTGTGTGTGTGTGTGTGTGTGTGTGTGGTGTGTGTGTGTGTGTGTGTGTGTGTGTGTGTGTGTGTGTGTGTTGTGTGTGTGTGTGTGTGTGTGTGTGTGTGTGTGTGTGTGTGTGTGTGTGTGTGTGTGTGTGTCTGTGTGTCTGTGTGTCTCTGTGTGTGTGTGTGTCTCTGTGTGTGTGTGTGTGTGTGTGTGTGTGTCTGTGTGTCTGTGTGTCTGTGTGTCTCTGTGTGTGTGTGTGTGTGTCTCTGTGTGTGTGTGTGTCTCTGTGTGTCTCTCTGTGTGCGTGTTCCTCTGTGTGTGTGTGTGTGTGTGTCTTTGTGTGTGTGTGTGTGTGTCTTCGTGTGTGCATGTACCATTCCTTAGATCTGATGCTGCGGGGCTTGTCCCTACCCCATTGTCGGATCATCTCATCCAGCTGCTTTGGCAGGTGTGCCGTTCCTCCTGTTTGGGGGCCCTTTGGTGCAAAAAAACTTCACTTCACCTTCATCTCTCCCTACCCCCTTGATTGGAATTCTATGCCAATCTTCAGGTCTCTGTGCGCGCATGTGTGCGCGCATGGTGGGTGCGTTTGGCTGCGTCCCGGCTGGGCGGGTGAGAGGGCGGGCGCGAACGTTTGCTGCTGTTCATTAGAGCATTCTTGAACCCGACAAGAGTTTGGGAGTTCCAAGGACGACACGGACGATCCTAGCCCTGTGACGCTGGCGGAATCTGCGGCTGGGCGGCTGATTCTGCTCGCCGTGTTGATGAGATTTCATGAGCATGGTTAGGTCTGGTTTCCATGTCCGAAACATTCCTTGCAGGAGTTGCTTGCAACTACTTGCAGTGGTTCAGTGTATGGTTCATGCCGTGAGCTAGGGCGACAGCGTCAGAGTGGACATGGCCTGTGAGGTTGGTGTGGGCTTGAACAGCCTCGGAACCACCCAAGAAGTCTTAGGGAAAGAGCCCTTGACTCAACTCCGGATACCCCCAACAGATGAACAAGACGTGCGCCATGAGGGGGGGGGCACTACGTGCAACATCGGGTCAAAGAAGCAATACACCCCAAAGCAGTATAACCCGAGAGCAATTCAACCCAAAACCACTGCAGTCCAAAGCAGTACAACCCCAAAGCAGCACAAGACTACACCAATGCAGCCTAAAGCAGGACAGCCTCAAAGCAGCACAAGGCTCTCCCACAACAGCCTGGGTGGGCTTCCCAGGACTACTTCCGGCTTGCGGACCACACGGAGTCGTAATGCCCTTGGAGAGGTGGCTCGATTTTGGGCCTATGCTTAAGGAGTGTGTGGAACTTCTACTACAGCGATCGGACATGCAAGGAGGGGCCTCACAATGTGAGCTTTGAAGCTCGGATTGACATTGAGGGTTCTTGGCTTGAGATTCCAGGCGAAAGATGTCGGGTTCACTTGTGGAAAGCTTTAATTTTTTCGGGCAGTGGTGGCCTCTCTTCATTCGGTACCTTGCTCATGGGGCATCCACGCACCGTGCACGCACAGCGCGCACGGCCCTCTGCTAAACTGGCAGGGCGCCCAAAGAATGCGCGCTCGTGCGGTGCTCGTGCTGGCACGCGCCTCCAGAGCTCAGGATGAGATTTAGAACATTTTAGGGCTATGCGTCCATGAGTCTCGGTGTCTACTGGATGTCGCGTGGCACCTTCTCTTCCGTGGAGTGTCGCGATCATCTCCGAAGTCCACGCATGGGAGAGTCCGAAGCCCAGCGAAGCCCCCCGACGACCAACAAGCGCACGATCTGTGCAGTCCCAAGACTTTCAAAAAAATACAGGGGTCGGAAGAATTACGAATGGTATTCCCTTACGGTCCCCGTGCAATTATACCACAGTAACCCCCCCCCCCCCCCAAAAAAAAAATTTTAAGACTCCTGCGAAAGTACGACCACGGCCCGGTGCCTCGCGCCATCTCACCGCTGCCGGAAGCCCCAGCTCCCAAGGATGTAGGAGTACTTGAGCGGGTTTAGGGTTTAGGGTTTAGGGTTTAGGGTTTAGGGTAGTTTCGGGTTCGATTCAGGTCTCTGGGGAGAGTTTTTTCGGTTTTTTGAGAGTTTTTCAATCTCATCTTACATCCGGAGCCCAAAGTCCGTGCGTCCTCAACCACTTAAAAACCTTCGACCGTCTCGTGCCTGAAGCTCTGTGCGCCCTACATACCTACTGTTTGCTTAAGAACCCCAAAAGAACAAACAAATAATATTACCCATATTACCCTTAATAAGGAAGATTTTTACTTCTACTATTATTATTCTTTATTGTGTGTTTTTTTGGGGTTCTTAAGCAATTCGTAGATGCACCATATATCGTCTCACTAGCCGGCATGGTCACGGTGTTGGCCCAGAGTCGGCGCGGGACGACAAAAGAACAAAAGCGACCCAGAGCTCAGGTTTAGGGTTTAGGGTTTAGGGTTTAGGGTTTAGGGTTTTGGGATGTTCCTGAGTCCTGACTAGGGACTACAGTACCCCTATTACAGTCTCTATTAAGGACTGCTAGTAGAAGGGGGAACATCCCAACTTCTAGTCCATGTTGTGGGCTTGGGGTTTAGGGTTGAGGGTTTAGGGTTCAGAGTTTGGGGTGGTGGGCGGGGTCAGGGGGAGTGGCTCAAAATTCGGGGCCCCTTTGGGGTCCACCATGTAACCACCGCAAGAGTAATTGTATGATTTTGTTTCCTAGGGTGGTAGAAATCTGGGTAGGAATGTATGGGCTACCGTATCTCCTCTTTGCACTTTGGCCACCTCGCTGCGACCCTCGTCGTAAACCCCAAAACCTACCTGAAGAAGGGAGAAAGGAAGGCAACGCTTCTGTGACGATGCCCGCCATGCTACTTTGAATGATGAAGGGTTTACGATATTCGGGGTACCTTATTCGGGCTCCTTACTATAAGGGGATCCTACTATTTGGGGGTTTATATTGGGGTCTCTGATTTCGTAGACCCCCGTGAAGGATGTCGGTGTCAGAGTTGATTTCTGACAGGCATCTTGATCCCACAGGGTTGAACTCTTCCGACAGCGAGTGTACGCGCAGGAGGCCTGTAAGATGCATCGTGAACCTGGAGCCCTAAACCCTAAACCCTAAGCCCTAGACCCTAAACCCTAAACCCAAAACCCAAATGCCCAAGTGTCTGTGTGCCTTCAGCCTGGAAGAGGAGGATGTCACGGCATCGGGGCGAAAAGATGACATCTTCATTGGCTGCACACTCCTGACTCTTGCTTGCGCAGCTGCTTGCGGCCCACAGATCTCAGAAGTGACCAGCACAGAGCCAGTTCAGCCACCAGTTCGGCGTCAGGGCTCCAGCATAGGGATCTTAGAGATAGCTTTAGGATCCTGGGCACATCGCCTCCCCCCAAAGCAGCCTGCAAGACTCGGGATTGTAGGGCCCCGATAGCCGCCACACACGGCGCTCTCGTCACCCTAAACCCTAAACCCTAAACCCTAAACCCTAAACCCTAAACCCTAAACCCTAAACCCTAAACCCTAAACCCTAAACCCTAAACCCTAAACCCTAAACCCTAAACCCTAAAACCCTTCAAATCTGAAAGAAGCCCTGGGGCTCATGGGCCTGGACCCTGAAAGGCCAACCATGGGGGGCCGAGCCACCCCTTAAACCACCTCGGAACATCGGAACATGCCCCCGGAGCACCCTAAACCCCCATGGTTTAGGGTTTAGGGTTTAGGGTTTAGGGTTTAGGGTTTAGGGTTCAGGGTTTAGGGTTTAGGGTTTAGGGTTTAGGGTTTAGGGTATCTTCACGCTGATCTCCGGCTTCGCTGATGGAGGGAGAGGGAGGGCTCAGCGAGGAGCTGCTGTCCAAAGCCCGGAGCCGAGGCTCACGGTGGGTTAGGGTTTAGGGTTTAGGGTTTAGGGTTTAGGGTTTAGGGTTTAGGGTTTAGGGTTTAGGGTTTAGGGTTTAGGGTTTAGGGTTTAGGGTTTAGGCTGCCTGAGGGCAGCAGCTGGGCTTCTCGGGATGTTTCGCCTCTGAGCGTATACTATAGAGTGTAGATTCTAGATTAGATGGAATATGTCATGCAGTGCCTATTGTAGATTGGTTATATCTAATAAGTATATTGTATAGAATATATTATGTACTCGTATGATGTGGGGGCTGCGGCAGCTCTTTGAGAAGGACTATCCCAACTTCGAAGGATCGCCCCGCATCCCCCAAGCGTGCAACGGCCACTCATGGAACCGTACAACCCAAATTAGGGTTTAAGGTTTAGGGTTTAGGGTTTAGGGTCCGGGGCAAGAAGATCCAGTGAAGATTTCGAGCAAGAATAGACTGCATGGTTGCTTGTACTTGTAGTTAGGGGCACAGCAAAGACATTGCTTCTCGTACAGTGCTGCGGCAATTCACTGTATAGGAACGACAAGGGATGGATACTAGTCGTAGCTCTTCGCCCGTGCAAGGAGCCGTAAAACCCTAAACCCTAAACCCTAAACCCTAAACCCTAAACCCTAAACCCTAAACCCTAAACCCTAAACCCTAAACCCTAAACTCTAGGCCCAAGAATAGGCCCCTGCGCAGGCAGCCGTTGGCTCGTTGATCAGGCCGACCGTGGCCAGCTGGCTCCGAACCCAGCCTGGGTTTTGAGTTCGTCTGCAGCTTGCCGCAGCTTGCCGGTGTTCGTATGGGTCGCTATCAGGGTTCCTAGGTGAGGTTGAGGATTCATATCGAAGGCTTGGAGGTGTAGAGTCGTAGGCAGCAGCGACTGCGGTGGTTTTCTTTGAGTTTCAACATTGTCCGTCATGTTCCTCTGGCGTGGGCCGCTTAAACAACTGGGCCGGGATAGCAGAAGCGTGACTTGCCTGGTAGCCCAAGATCCCAGTGCGAAGCGTTCCAACCAGGGGGCCGTTGGCCAGTCGTTCTAAACCATCGATATCTCGGGGGTTCGGGTGTGAGGAAGGCATGTGCAGTCCAGAGTCGGATACCGGGCCGGGGTCTGAAGAAGGGTTCGCGGCCTCTAGGACTTTGGGTTTGGGATTCCTGAGATGTTGTTCTTGCCTAAAATATGAGAATCTTGCACACGCTGGCATCTGTTGCAAGAGGTCGGTGAGTTACGGCCACTCCGCCGACTCGCGTGGAACCTAGGAAGATCAGGCTGAAGGCATGTTGTCTGACTTTCAGGATCAAGAGCTCAGCTGCCTTCACCTCATATACTACGCTTCTCAGATGAGCTACTGCTTCAACGGAGGGGTGTCGTTCTCGTTTACATAGCATGAGACCCCGAATCCTGACAAGCAACGAAGGGCACTGAATTGGCTCATCTTGGTGCGCTTTCCTGGTTTTGGTTTTCGACACCAGAAGAATCCCTTGCCCCTAATACCAGCCCCTCCATTCTGCGCTTATTTTTCCCAGAGCCCCTCCACCCACCTCCCACCCCCCGAACTCAGCGCAGCATTAAAATTGAATGAAGGGAAGCTTATCTCCTTATAATTCGCATAAAATGCACATAATCCCTAGACACCCTAAACCCTAAACCCGAAGCCCTAAACCCTCAAACCCGAAATCCCAAACCTCTAACAGACACTGCTTGCGTAAGCTCCCCTAGATACCAGGGTCAGGGTCAGCCTGAAGGCCGCTGTGAAAGCCTGAAGGCCGCTCCAGGCAGTAACTCTAGGGGGTCCCGCGCGAATTAGGGTTTAGGGTTTAGGGTTTAGGGTTTAACGCGGCCGCCTTAGTCTCAAGCATTCCAAGTATGTTTCCGGCCGGACCGAGTTTTCACACATGCCTTGAACACCTCAGCGTGGCCTCCGCTGCTTCTGAGGCCTGGATAAAGCTGCTGGGTACCTCCTTCGCGCTTGTCAAGCAGGGTTCGGGTTCGCACCGTACAGGTACCCTGAAAACCTACAACCCCCCGAGCATTTGCTAATGGTAGAAGTACTTCGATCATCCGACAGGTCCGTTTGCCTTGCGGTTTGTAAATGGAAAGAGTCATCCGGACCAGACAATTCTCCTGAATCCGCAGCTGACCAAAGTAAGCTCATGCGCCGTGCCTGGAGGTAGCTTTGGGCCCCGGCTCGCCCTTCAATAGCTCGAAGCACCACCGAGACGCAAGCCTCTTGTGAACAACGAGCCATGAGTCCATGAGTCACTAGTCATGAACGCTTAGTTTATCTTAGTTTTGAGTTTTGAAGACGCTTCCCGTGAGCTTTTGCTTGCACTCGGCGAGGCGTCGTCAGCGGCGAGAGCATCGAAGCGTGGGCGGAGGAGCTTGACACGCTCCCCGGCCTCATGGAGTATACAAGGCTAGAGATGGGATAGTTCCCCCCCGAAACAACTAGGGTGGCTCAGAAAGGGGGCAGTGAGATTGCTGATTTACTCTTCAGGAGCGGGGTGTGCGAGCTTGAAGGCTTGTTGGCATTGATGGGTGTGAAGCTTCTGAAAACCAGATGGGGCAAGAGCGATTGGGCTTGGAGTTGTGTTCAGGACCATCATCGGTGTCGTGCTAGTTTGGGCCCTCAACTACTTGCCCAAAGCCTGCACGATGCAAAAGCGCGGATACTCCAGCCGGCGCACCGAGAAGATTGACAGGCCTCGCCTCTGAGGGTACACTCACCCCAAACCCTAAACCCTACACCCTAAACCCTAAACTCCCGCAACCCTATAAAGCCTAGGCATCGAAAGCTTTATGCTGAGCTCGTGGAAGAGTACCGGAAGTGCCGCTCACAGCTTGTCTGGGCAACTTTCCGTCCAAGCAGGGGATTTGTATGGGAACCCTGAATCCTAAGCAACATTCGGCCTTTTTTCTTTACTGCTTTCTGGTACTCTTCTTGTTCCTCCAGTTGATTGGTTACCATCCCAGCTAGCCATTGGCACCCCTTGACCAGCTGAACGCCCCACAGAGGCAACACGATGCGAGCCCACATAGTGTTACCTACTGGCAGTATATCCGAACAAAACCAACGGAACCACAGAATATCACCAGACAAGACCTCCGCTACAGCACTGTTAACACTGAACCCTACACCAGAACTTCATGGAGTTGCAGGGGCCCCGCCCCCAGAACTGCGGAGGTCAGTTGTAGAAGTTCGCACGATGGGCTGGCGGGGTTATCGATCTTGAATCGAGGAATGCAACACAAAGTGCATCCCGCATCGCAAGGGAGACGGACGTCAAAGCCGTGGATCCGAAGCTTTGCAATCCACTGCCGCATCCTCACTGCATCCTTCGTCACGTTTACCCCAGGGAACTCGGGATTCGGGCAGGTCGTTGGCCAGATAGCTATCAAGTTCGTGCTTGACTGGTGGGGGGAGTTTCGGGGATTGATGTTCACCTTGCCATCTTGACTTCAAAGCTTCGGCTTTCCGATGGCACGTGAGCACACGCGGGCGGCTCTGCGCAGTATGTGCTGGTTGCAGGCTGTGGAAGTTGTGTGATCCCACTGTTCGGTGCTGCAGGTCTCGGAATGCGGACAATCCGTACCTGAAGATTCAGGCAGTTTGGAGTTCCAGCACTGCAGAAGCCTGTGTTGCCGATGCCACATGCATCGGAGGTTCGTTGTTCATTGGTGTCGTCCTAAGGGAGTCGACCAATCGCATTATGTTGGTAGTTCTGGTGCATTGAACTCTGGGGGGAGAGAGAGAGAGAGAGAGAGAGAGAGAGAGAGAGAGAGAGAGAGAGAGAGAGAGAGAGAGAGAGAGAGAGAGAGACAACCTGGCATGGCTGCGAAAACCGCAGCCCCGAACCGCATGACACTTGCGACTGGCGCGCCCCTCGGGGCAGCTCCCCCTTCGGGGGGGGGGCTAAGCGTGCAGAGAGAGAGAGAGAGAGAGTTGTCATAATCATCGCCTGAAAAAGCAAATATACACTAGAAAGTATTCCAAATCAAAGGTTATAAGACAGAAGAATAAAAGTTCCTTGAGAAGTGAATTCCAGTCCAACAATGAGCGTGAAAGATATACAAGAGCAGAAAGTGCAAACCAAGAGTTACTAGCAATAACGCAAAATGAACCTCCCAAAAATACCAAATAGTCCCTTTAAGAAAGAGATAACGGCCCCATCAGTTTCTTTATCTTGGCAGTAGTTCTGGTAGTGAGGAGATCATACACGGTTTTTTGCTCACAGGAATTCTTTCTACCTAAAAAGACGGGCAGCAAAGAATTGTATGTACCGTTCCTAGCCGAACCCCCCGTGCGAGGAAAGCAGGTATTCTTAAACCCTGACAGGCCTAGCGGCCCCTCCCAATCGCGGTTTAGGGTGCAGTCATCGGAGAAGCTTTACTGTAGTTCCAATTTGTGGCTGGGCTAGAAAAACCACTACAGCAATGTCAAATCCTAAAGCCTCTCTGGTCGAGGTGAACGAAGAGCTTCTAAAAGAGATCTGGAAGGACGTCGAGCGCACCTTCCCCGCACCTTGGCAACAACAAGCATAATCAGAACTGCAGGGTCGTGTTCGTACTCACCATCACAACTGTGGTCCTAGCCGTGATGATGCCCACAATTCTCGTACGTAGTACAGAGAAGTGCCATGGTTGCATTCTGGGTTTGCACCCTTTTTTGGGGTGTTTTCATCGACCGGTGACACTCACACGGGGGGCACCGATCCCTTACTCAAGAGCGTGCGACCCCATCACACCTATATTTCTTGTGGTTGAGTCCTGATTGTACTGTAACTGTGCGAAGTACATATAGCCGTCGGCTGACAACGATACTCGACAGTTGTGCATGAGCCGGGACGGATCGGAAGGAGACAGCAGGACGCAGGCTCCAGAGCAAGCTTCGCGAGTGTTTTGGGGCAATATAATCCACGGAGCCGCGATCTGTTGCGTGGGTCATTGTCATGTGCGACTGATGTACTTAATACTCAAGACAAGGCTTCGTGGGATTCGCCTAAACAACCGCATCGCAGGTCGGCAGAACGAAATGTGCGACAATTGATAACCTAACACGCAACATGACATAGTGGCTCTCACAAATCAGCGGTATTTTACTTTGGCGTACGATGAGAGGAGCAAGGTCGAACGAGGATCGCTAAAAGTGCTCAAGGAGGATCTCGCAACGTAGTTAGACGTCGAAGAGCTCGCGTGGCTGGACCCGAAAGTGATAACGGTCAGCCGTCTAGTAAGGCAAACATCAGCACCGATCGTTGAGGTGGGCGGCTCTGACAGCCCAGCGCTCGATCATCACGCGCGTGTCTACGTACCTGACTGATAGCCGCAAGGGCTGACTTGAACAGGCGATGCCAACGATACAGCCGCGACAATGCTGCGCGGTGCCGGGGCAAGCGGCGACTCCATATTGCAAAGCTAAGAACAGCGGCGTCGAGCAAGAAATGCAGTAGCGGCGCTATGATCACGATTTAGCATATCAAAAACAAATTCAACAGCTTCCAAACAACCAAGGCGCAACGCTGAATTGCCCGCAGCAGAGCGGGCGACGCGCAAACACGCTACACCCGCACCCTCAGCGCACTGGCCACCTCAGGAGAAGTCGAAAGCCATAGGGTTTAGGGTTTAGGGTTTAAGGTCATCAGCCAACTGTCACAGAAACGCAAACCGCCCCCACACGAACACCCATACCCGCACCCACCCACACACACACACACACTCACACACAGGCGGGCAGGCAGGCGGGCAGGCAGGCAGGGAGGTAGGGAGGGAGGTAGGGAGGCAGGGCGCGCACGCACTGACATACACAAACACAAGCACTACATCCAATCAAACGATGCGAATGTGTCTTTCGGTTTCTTGATGATCCCTGCCCTTATGCTCTAAAGCGAGGAGTTGGTTTCAGCGAGGACATCCCAGAAACAGCAAGCAAGCGGCCTTGAGCCGACAGTTTAGGTTTGTTGGTGGTTTGGGGAGTTTGTGGCTGCTAGGCTGCAGGGCCCCTAAACCCTAAACCCTAAACCCTAAACCCTAAACCCTAAACCCTAAACCCTAAACCCTAGGGTGACACCGGGGCCCTGTGCCAAGGAGTGCCAATTCTTGTCCAGTCCGGAGAGTCGGAAGGCCCGATGTCCTTACGGAGCCGAAGTATGATGAAGTAGAACCCTAAACCCTAAACCCTAAACCCTAAACCCTAAACCCTAAACCCTAAACCCTAAACCCTAAACCCTAAACCCTAAACCCTAAACCCTAAACCCGTAGGGTCAAGGGATGAAGAGTTTATTCAATAGCAGCCGCTTCCGAGCCCCACAAACCCGAAACGTCTCGTACCCTCTTGCGGTTGGTTTGCTTGCTACTAGAGGAGCCTTGTGTCCGTAGAGACAGCCATGAGGCTCATGAGGGGTTTTGCCTCAGTTCACTGATGACTCTGACACCGAAACTTTGCTGAAGTCTGGGGCCACTTGGCGTTGGCGCTTTATTGAGGGAACTCTGATATGGCTTGTGGCGATGTCGCGCCGACACGATCGCTCACGCCACGTTGAGAATAGGCTGCAGAACAAGAGCCTCAAACCCTTGACGAATCTTACAGCCGCCCCAAAATCACACAGTCGCCCAGAAGGAGTTCATTTCCCCAACTCCAGCCCGAGCAGCTGGACAGACGGGACAGGTCCTGCAGCGGATTCTGTTTCACTGGCCTGGTGCCAAGATCTTTCAGGGGGGAGCTGCAAGTGACGACTCATTTGTTGTCCTTTCTCCCTGACCCTGAAAGCCTGTGTGCAGGCTTCATTTTGTCATCGGCGCGGTTGCGGTTTTGAGTCTGCAAGTTCGGTGTTTCAGATTGATGTCAAGGGCTTCCTTGAAGCTCTCTGATCCTTTGAGACACTTATTCATCGGTCGCGGACCCCGGCAATGCAAGCGCAGGCTCTTCATGAGTGGATGAGGATGATTCTGCGAACTTCATGTTATGCCAGATGGCAATGGCAGTACCACCGAAGCATACCCCAAGACGGCCAAGCACCCCAAGTCCAAACAGAGTTGATTCGGGAAACCGTGCTCGCTTCTCGGGTGTCTTTCGCTGATATTATTATCCTAAACCCTACACCTAAACCCTAAACCCTAAACCCTAAACCCTAAACACTAAACCCTAAACCAAAAACCGATATCATTATGTTTCAAGCGGGCTTTGGGTTAGGGCATGTGCTCCTAAACCCTCCAGGGCTCGGCCCAGGTGTAGGTCCAAGAACCCTTCGATGACGCCCTCGGAGAGCTATCGGCAGGGCCAAGGGCCCAGCTCAGATGCGCTCGGGAGAGACTCGGGAGGTGTTGCAGGGGCGCTTTCTCAGGCGGGATTGTGCAAGGAACTTGTGTCCGCATGGGCTGGAAGCAGGGCTTCCCCCCGCTCTTTGTTGCGATTTCGGGTGGGTTTTTAAGGGTTGGGAGTTGGGGGCCTTGACCTGGAATGGTTGGCAAGTGTCCGCCTTCGTCCACCGCTTTCGTGTGTCCAGTGCATTCCAATGCGCTGTGACCTTCGCTGCCGCCATCACTTGGATCGTCCTCGCGATCGCAGGGATCGGAGGTCTCGTGTCGTGTTTCGCGAGGTGCCTCGCGTCATGCCTTCTGTAGCTCGTGCCTCATCTTGTATTGTCCTCTCTCATGTAGTCCCGAGAGCGCTTTCCGCTTGTGTAAGTTTTGAGTTTGCAGTTGGGCTTATGATTGAAACGAAGCGGCGTGGCGCTGATTCCCAGCGCCGTCGTTGCATGTCATTTTCGGATGCTGTGCTGCTTCTGTGGGGGTGGGGTGGGGGGGGGGGGGGGAATGGCGCAGTTGCTTACTTGCTACCCTCCTTGGCATGTGGAGGATGTAGATGTGGAAGGTTAATGATTATGTTGGAATTTTGTATATACTTGGTGCCTTGCACTCATAAACCTGAAGCACGGGCGCTCGAATCCTTCATCCTGATGCAGACACCCAGCATTGAAGCTCTGAGGAATGAACGAGCTGGCCGCCGTCCTGTACGCAGCCATGAAGCAGGGCGAGTGCCAGCCCCAGGTTCATGTTCAGACGGTGAGGCAATGATGCTCGGCTCACCCCCTTTCGATGTTCATCTCAGAGTACAGAGCCCGGATGGCGAGGTTCAGCAATGGCATGGACCGTGAGGCCGGAGCCTTCCGGGAACTACAGCTATTACCCCCCACCCCCTCCCCCCGAAGCCGCTCCTCCCGCTGAAGCCGCGAAGTGCCTCGGGGAAGTTTCTGTGACCCTCAGCGCTCCAAGCCAACCCCTCAGCCCTGCAAAGTTCCAGCAACCCCGAGCCGAACTCGGGGTTTAGGGTTTAGGGTTTAGGGTTTAGGGTTTAGGGTTTAGGGTTTAGGGGATTCTGCAGCTCCCGGTGGTCCCCGAAGCTGCGGGGGATGCGAGTAGGGGGTTTCCTGGCGCGCGCTGCAAGATGCAAAGCAGAATAGGGTTTAGGGAAAGTTTAGGGTTTAGGGTTTAGGGTTTAGGGTTTAGGGTTTAGGGTTTAGGGTTTAGGGTTCCTTCTGGTGCAGGCGCTTGGCCCGCGGCTCTGTGGTTCTCGCTACAACGAGGCGTTGCGCATCTCGGGGGGCTTGAGGGTGCGGACAGGCAGGCAGTTTTTGGAGGAGTTTCTTGGTACGCTGCATATTTTTCTGGATGCTTGCTGCAACCCCTACTTTCTCCTTGGCGAAGCCTCCTCTACATCATCTTGTTCGCCGCCCTATGAAGGCATCGGGCCACATTCGTCCTACAGTTGAGGATCAACCCCAAACTGCTACGCCGTCTCCTGGGAGCCGGGATGATTGTTGGCGGCTTGCAGGGCTTGTAGGCTGTTCAGGGTTTAGGGTTTAGGGTTTAGGGGTCGAGGGCTTCAAGGCATAGGCACAGGGGTGGTTCGGCTGTCTGCAGGCAGATGCCTTTGCCTGCTTCGTCCAGCTGATGGAGCGAGGGCTGGGGGCTCCTGCTGCGTTGGTCAGGGTTTTGTGGTTTAGGGTTTAGGGTTGAGGGTTGAGGGTTTAGGGTTTAGTGCCATCCTCTGACACCTCTAGTCACTGTAGTGAGCCAAGTAGGGCACCGGGCGCTTTCCTTTTTTTATTGGGCAGTGGTCTGCTGGACCACATTGAGTGCAGCTTGCCTGGACCTCCAGGTGAACCAGTCCCACAAGCAAGCTTTTTGTTGTCGTAGCCTTGCCGGGCTGACTACTCCTCAAACGGGACGAAGAGCTTCTGAATCTTCTTGCAGCTGCATACGGAAGGTGTTGTGACGGATATGGTACTTCTATTTCAAATGAGGACAAGCGAGCAAAAGCTAGATCTGAAGCTTCAGTTCGCCAGGGCCGCGCCGCCTCGGGGGTCGACTCCCGAAACCCGAGGTTGCGACCCATGTTCCTGGTCACGAGTTCTAGCCGGCCGGCAAAGTCTCCGATTGGCGACCTCCCACGCTGGGGGGCCTGGATGTCATAGGGCCTGGGTTTGGGAGCAGGCGACAAGGCTTCAGTTTCAGTACTCGGTCTTTGAGCGCTCCGGAGATAG